TATGCATACATAAAATAAACACTCATAAGACGCTTTGAGGGCAGACTTTGCAGTTCTGGTAAAAAGTCACTTTTGTTCATGTACTTGTAACTTCAGAAAACTTCTCATATTTAGTGCAATGTGTTGTGGTCACTTAGATTAAAATYCTTCATGGCAGACTAAACACATTTTGACTTGAAATTCTGGGAACAAAATTGATTTTTACTAAAAAAAACCCACAAAGCAGCTCTCAGAGGGCACTTTTATAAAAGTTAAGGGCTGTCAGTATCCAATCCCTGATCCAGACCCTAAAACTGATCCTAAACCAAGAAGATTCCAACCTAAAATTCAGTAGTTCAGATAAATACTCTTGCATAATAAATGATCCCAGAGTAACTGCAAAGGCCTGTTGTTAGGACCTGTTTTTGTCATCTGTGTAAAATAATAATAATAATACCAAAAAAAAATCCTTACCAAATTGATCGTATTGTAACTTTCAATCCTGGAGGTAATTCTTGGGTAAAAAACTCACAATGGCAGCTCTTATCATCACCCATTTCTTCTCCTGGAAGGCTTGCCTCTGGAACAAAATTCAGAAATATTCATTACAAAACATTTTACTTGTTTCTGACCAACACGTTCGAACAGCAGAAGCAATGCAGAGCTGTTTTTATTTTTTTAATCTACACAGCTTTCGTGTTGGTTTCAAGCCAGTTAGCCTGTCTGTGAGAGCGATGAGCGACAGAAAACAACTTGTGTAGAGCAGAATTGAAGGATAGTGCTGATGCAATAAAGCTTTACCGAAACCTTTAAGATAAGTTCTCTCTTCCCACCACCAATTATTAAATTAAAAGTGTWATTAGCAGGTTTAGATTCGCCAAAATGCTTATGAATGGCTTTTCTTCAGAAATAGGCTCTAATCTGGTGGGGAAAGTGAGGTCTTTTCATGCAAAATAAAGCAGGTTTTTGGTTACATTACTGTAAATCTGGGTCAGTTTTTGGTTGTCTTGGCACCACTTGACTTGAACCCGCTATTAGCTTGTCCTACTTTTTGTGTAAAAAACAGACTATGTGATCATTTGCATGTTGTTTTAAGAGACTTATTAAATAAATACAATCAAATAATTCCATGCTTTCCCTCAGCTAGACTCATGCTTTACAGCCGTCAGTCACAACAAGGAGAAAAAAATAAAAAAATAACATAAATAAAACTTATAGAGGGGTTCATGTCAAGTCAACAGATTTAGCATGCGGACTTATCAAACCAGGTGAAGCCAACATGTTTCATTCTTCTATATTTTATAATTTCAACCAAAAAAGTCAACCAAAAATATTTCCCAATGTCTTACTTATTAAACCTTCAATTGCTGCAAAAAGAGAGAGGGAGAGGGAGAGGGAGAGTGGGGAGAGAGAGAGAGAGAGAGAGAGAGAGAGAGAGAGAGAGAGAGAGAGAGAGACATAGGAGAGACATGAAAAAGATTTGTTATGGATTCTATTGGATGACATGGACAGACACATCAGTTCTTCGACAAGTCTTCGATCCACAGCTCAGTTTCTAACAGTCCTCTGGGATTTTTTAACTGTATGAATTTGAATATGGCAAACCACAGATCTACACATTACAGTTTATTTTGCAGTTGAAACTGAAGACAGGTCATGGTAACTTGTCTAACCTGGAGAACGCTTCAGTCCAAAGTCGTCGTCCTGCATTTCAATCAGCACTTTAAACAAGTCATGAGGTGGAAGAAGAAAAACAGCTAATGAGAACTGGGTCCAACTGTTCAACAGAAAGCCAAAGCAGTGATGAAGGACAGAAACATAGTTGTTGGCAGTGATRCCTGGATGACGTATGAACGTTCATGATGACCAGACACCTCAACATCCAAACAGACTCTGTTTGTTGTTGAAATGTGCCAGTTTTCTGTTTCTTCAGACACCAGCAGGACAAACAAATCTTCTCATTCATGACAGTTGATTTCTTACTATTAACTATTTTTTTTAAAGTATGAAGTAAGCGCTAACCTCCTTCTAAAACACTTTAATGGTGAGTTTTTGGTCTGACATGGAATCAACTCTGTTTCATGTCCTTCAATGACAGCAGTTTATAATTATTTTTATTAAAGAAATGTAACATTTGTCAACACTGAAACTTTATAAAAACAAACTGCAAAAGCAGCAGCAGCCTGCACAGTTATTAAAGTGCCTGTGATATCACATTTTTGTAATAAATACAAATGCATTTTTGGAAAGATGACATTGATATTATATTGCAAAATAAATTTCATGCCACTAACAAGAACAGCTGTTGAGACATTCACATACAAAGTAACAGGAAGTGATGTCAAAGGGGATTATCTGAGCGTGAACAAAACATTGTTAAGATTAACAACACAGACTGTAGAGAAGAATCTGATGTTTCTTTAGAATATTTTGAGTCACTGTCAAGGAGAAGAAAGGGGGTCAGAGTTCAAATAATATTGTTTCGAAATTCTGAAAGAGTTCCCCTTTGATGTCACTTCCTGTTTCAGTTTAACTGAGCCAAGCTCAAAAGAAAATATTATAGTTATGTGACAAAATGTGAAGAATCATGTATTGTGCCAAATGTCATACATATAAAGATGTTTTCTTTGATTTTTTTTTTTTGCATTTAAAAGGACATAAATGTCACAGGCACTTTAAAGCTTGTTGCTTTGTAGCTCATCCATTAGTCAGTTTACATAACCTATCAGCTCCAGTTTAATTTTCATCTATTTTGTTATTTGCTTTTACCTGAGAGATTCTAATGGAGTCATAGTTATTTTGATTACTTTACAGGAGCATCTTAGAACTCTGGCTTATTTGCATGCTTTCCTTCATTTGATGGGACTATTATAAACTAAACGCTCAGTATTATGACTTGTTGTAAAGACGACATGCTGACGTTCAGATATATGGGGAACCGAAACTGTTATAATTAAAATAAAGATAACAATATATAAATGGAGGCGGCACGGTGGCTCRGTTGGTAGAGCTGATGCCTCTCAGCAAGAAGGTCACCGGTTCAAATCCCGGTCTGGGGACCTTTCTGGGTAGAGTTTGCATGTTCTCTCCGTGCATGTGTGGGTTCTCTCCGGGCACTCCGGCTTCCTCCCACAGACAAAAACATGACTGTTAGGTTAATTGGTAACTCTAAATTGTCCCTAGGTGTGAGTGAGAGAGTGAATGGTTGTTTGTCTCGTTTGTCTCTATGTGTGGCCCTGTGATGGACTTGCGACCTGTCCAGGGTGTACCCCGCCCCTCGCACTGTGACTGCTGGATATGGGCACCAGTGACCCACGCAACCCTGAAAGGAAAGAAGCGTGTACAGAAAATGGATGGATGGATTTTTTTAAAGAAATTAATTAATCCAATGC